CTCGCGAAATTCCGCACTTTTTCGGTGCTTCCGGACCGCCCTTAAAAAAGCAGTGCTATATCCGGACTTACAGGAAATTCCGGACTTGTAGATACCCTGCTTATAACTCGTAATGTGCAAACTATACGGGATTTTTCTTCAAAAATATCATGGGTACAAATGAGGGGTTTTTCAGCACTAGAAAAAATGAAAGCAGGAACCGTTCCAGACGCCAGAATCGTAGTTCACGTTTTTCAGCTTTCCCCATGCATGGTCGGTTACAACAGTCAAAAAGTAGCGATTCGATTTTCGCAGACATCATTTTCAGCCGACAACCCCGGTTTCCTGTCAGTCCGCAATAAACGCCACTTTTCTGGTCGACGCCCACGGCCCATCGAGCAGCTCAAATCCTGCGCGCCGGCCGGCTTTCCATCATTTTATCACCTTGCTCCCCATTGTTCCCTCCATTGGCGAGCTGAGGCTCGTTAAGTTGAGGCTCAACGGTTTCAGATGCGATTTCAGCCAACATCATAATCCTTTTTCCGGACCTACAGACATTTACGGACCTGTCATAATAAAACTTTTATTTTCGGGGATTTAAAATGTTTTTGCGGAGATCAGGCATGATGAATAATACTTGGACTCTTTTTAAGATGATTTGACGGTCGCCCTTTTTTGTGTCAGAGCGACGTCGCTCTGATACAAAAAAATGAAAACCGTCGAATCACCTTTTAAGCTATTGAGTTGGACAATCAACTTCGGCGCGATGCATTACGAATACGTCCGATATAAGTCAAATTTTAAAAAAACTAACTGCTTAGGTGGATTAGTTTGGAAAATTAAAAAAATTAGCCTCTAGATCAATAATCAGAGAAATTACACGCCGACAAACCCTCTAAAATTGTAAATTAAAGGCAGTAATACTGTTTCCAGTCGACCACCGATATCGATACATTAAAACCGGTCCTTAATCGAAAATAGCCCCTACTTCTGTCTTCATTTTAAGCTTCTGAAAGATCCAGGGTGTCTACTAAAATAGGCTGGCCAAAAATCCGTACTTTTACAGTACTTCTTCAGTACATTCCCAAGCAATTCAGTACTTTTTCAATACCTTTACCTGACGAAATTCGAAAAATTTAAAAAATTTGGATTTCCCGCTCGAATTGCGACAAAAATGAGAAAAATTCTGGACTTCTTTCCAAAATTTCCGCACTTTTTCAGTGCTTCCGGACCGCCCTTGAAAAACCAGTACTATTTCCGAACTTCTCGGAAATTCCGGGCTTGTAGACACCCTGATGACTTTCAGTGCGAACATTTTATAATGATCGGTCTGCCGACGAAAATTGAGATGTTTTCGATGGTGCCAATGAATACACTGCATCACAGCAGGGAACCCAGGACCCACCGTTTTTATATCAGGAATAAAAACAGTTCGACGTCTTCCAGGTTAATCGTCATGAATGATAACCGAGAATGAATACTACACGCTTGCAGGCCGTCCGTAATAGGAGGGTGGGAGGGAGAGGGGGGTTGCCGTAAGAAAAAAACGAAGTGAGAACGTAACGGGGTCACAAGTTCGGGTGACTGATAAGAAGCAATAAAGCTACACCAGCTGTAAATGAATGAAGCCGTTTGGTTTGAGAGAGACTTTTAGGTCCGGCACGAATAGAGATCAGATCAGCGGGGAAAAAATCGTCACGCGTGAATCGAATCGGCTTCATCATCGAAACCTGCCATCGGCGCCGCGCCGCCTCAAAAACGCATTAAAACTTAACTGCCGTGCAGTGGCGTGGCGTCCATAGGTTCGCAGTGTTCGCCGAACACCCTAAAATATTTTGAGACAATTGATAAATTATGGCTAACAATGTGGGAAACAATACAGAATAGTAGACCGCAAATAATCATCGGGAGATTTTCTTCCGACGGCGATATGCGGCGCGGCGGAGAGAAAGAATCCTGAGACGCGGGGTCCGCGAGGGGCCGCCGATCCTGGATGAGAGTGAGAGGGGAACGGGCGGGGCGAGCTGCCCACTTCGGTGAGACGAGAGAACCTCGGTGCAATGATGAAGAAGGGTCGGTAGACGAGAGAGCGGGAGGCACCGGCGCGGAGGACAGAGCGGAGCGGGAGCATTGAGTTCGGCCGACAAGTGCGGACCGCGCTCGCGAAGTGAACATAGCAGAGAGAAAAGGGAACAGGGAGAGAACGAGAGACGAGAGTCGCTCATCAGTCCAGCTGTTTCCTTTACCAGTGGTCCGCAGGTCCCTGCGAACGGCCGAATTTCCCCTCTGCCAATTCGTCCTACGCTTCTCCTCTTCGCTTGCGGGCAGCGCGCGGGCCGCATCTCTCAGTTCCACATTCCACATTCCTCAGTCTCCTACTTATTCTCGCAGGTGCGTGTTGTGCAATTCAACGTGATCTTCTCCCCTTTCAAGAAGCTGGAATTATGGTTTCAGAAGAATACTGAATAAATAATAAATACTTTTTGAAAATTTTAATTATAATAAAAACTTTTTCAACAATTTTTTTTCATTCATTTAATCNAACAGGCCCATTCAGTGCCTTCTCAGCAGAAAAATGCAGTACTTTTTCAGTACCTCCAATCGGCGAAATTTGAATTTCTCGCTCAAATTGCGATAAAAATGACAAAAAAACAGAACAAATTTCGGGCCTACTTGCGGAATTTCCTCACTTTTTCAGTATTTCCGGACCGCGCTTGAAAAATCAGTACTATTTTCGGACTTTCCGGAAATTCCAGACTTGTTGACACCCTGAAACTATATGGGATTTTTTTTCAAAAATATCATTGGTAAAAATGAGGGGTTTTTCGGCACTTGAAAAAAATGAAAGTAGGAACCGTTCCAGACGCCGGAATCGTAGCTCACGTTTTTCAGGTTTCACCTGCATGGTCGGTTACAACAGTCAAAAAGTAGCGATTCGATTTTCGCAGACATCATTTTCAGCCGACAACCCCGGTTTCCTGTCAGTCGGCAATAAACGCCACTTTTCTGGTCGACGCCCACGGCCCATCGAGCAGCTCAGATCCCGCGCGCCGGCCGGCTTTCCATCATTTTATCACCTTGCTCCCCATTGTTCCCTCAATTGGAGCTGAGGCTCGTTAAGTTAAGGCTCAACGGTTTCAGATACGATTTCAGCCAGCTTAATAATCCTTTTTTCGGACCCACAGACAGGTACGGGCCTGTCATAATAAAACTTTTATTTTCGGGGATTTAACATGTTCTTGCAGAGATCAGGCATGATGGATAATACTTGGACTCCTTTTAGGATGATTTGACGGTCGCCGTTTTTTGTATCAGAGCGACGTGCAATTCATCGCACGTCGCTCTGACACAAAAAACGGCGACCGTCGAATCACCTTAAGCTGTTGAGTTGGACTATCAACTGCGGCGCGATACATTACGGATACGTCCGATATAAGTCAAATTTTAAAAAAAACTAACTGCTTAGGTGAATTAGTTTGGAAAATTACAAAAATTAGCCTCTAAATCAATAATCAAAGAGTTTATACGCCGACAAATCCTCTAAAATTTTAAATTTAAGGCAGTAATACTGTTTCCAGTTGACCACCGACATCGATACATTAAAATCGGTCCCTAATCGAAAATAGCCCCTACTTCTGTCTTCATTTTAAGCTTCTGAAAGATCCGGGGTGTCTACTAAAATAGGCTGGCCAAAAATCCGTTCTTTTACAGTACTTCTTCAGTACATTCCCACGCAAGTCAGTACTTTTCCAATACCTTTACCTGACGAAATTCGAAAAATGTCAAAAATTTGAATTTCCCGCTCGAATTGCGACAAAAATGAGAAAAATTCTGGACTTTTTTGCAAAATTTCCGCACTGTTTCAGTGCTTCCGGACCGCCCTTGAAAAACCAGTACTATTTCCGAACTTTCCGGACTTGTAGACACCCTGATGACTTTCAGTGCGAACATTTTATAATGATCGGTCTGCCGACGAAAATTGAGATTTTTTCGATAGTGCAAATGAATACATTGCGTCACAGCAGGGAACCCAGGACCCATCGTTTTTATATCAGGAATAAAAACAGTTTGAAGTCTTCCAGGTTAATCGTCATGAATGATAACTGATATTACACGCTTGCAAGCCGTTCGTAATAGGATGGTGGGAGGGAGAGGGGGGTTACCGTAAGAAAAAAACAAAGTGAGAACGTAACGGGGTCACAAGTTCGGGTGACTGATAAGAAGCAATAAAGCTACAACAGCTGTAAATGAATGGAGCCGTTTGGTTTGAGAGAGACTTTTAGGTTCAGCACGAATAGAGATCAAAACAGCGGGGAAAAAATCGTCACGCGTGAATCGAATCGGCTTCATCATCGAAACCTGCCATCGGCGCCGCGCCGCCTCAAAAACGCATTAAGTACAACTTAACTGCCGTGCTACGGAAGAACGCCGTAAAAGCCCTCAGACGTTGCCATATTCCCTTCAATAAAAGTCAAATTTACCGGGAAAATTGGGAATGTTTGTTTTCAAATTTTCTAGACGATTTTGTTCGCTATTTAGTCTGAAATATCTGGAAATGTCAAGAAAAAGAATTTAAAACTTTCCTCACAAGTACATTTTTTATTCGAGGAAATTTGGCAACTCTCGAATGCGGAATGCTCATACGGCGTTTTTCCTTAACACGGTAGTTAAGGCGGCCTTACCTAACACCGACGTGAGAAAAGTTCATCTGTGTCCGGCGAGTGACTCATCCGTGCATTAGAATTATTTTCGCCACTGCCCGTTTCGACACTTCGGTTTAATTGCGGATTGAGTCATGGTTTAAAATCGAACTATGCATCAGTATTCAGAACGTTAAAAAAAAAACACCTGCGGATCGAAGTCAAAACAAACTGTTGAATGGACCAGCTCACGGTGGAATCAAGCGGTATCGCTCCGTGTTAATCGTGCAGGGGTATCTCTTGACTCGTTTTGATTTGGGACCAATTTTTTTTACTGAAATTATTTGTAAAACTACGGCTAGTAAAATAAAACTGACATACCGAAAGCGGCTACTGAAGATTGTCAACCTCGGCGCACTTGATAATCCTGTAAAAAGAAAAATTGAATTACCGATTAGTAAATATTCATTAAAAAAATTAAAATCTGCTCAAGATTTCGACAATATTGGAGTAATTCATCGAATTTAAATGCGATTACTCTGGACCATAAAAAGACGGATTCAAATTGATATAGGAGAATTAGGACAAGAGGGGGTCTCTTGTCTTCATGATTTTTCCCCCATGGATTACCTTAGAACAAATTTTCCAATATTTACGCGAGTTTCAAGTCGCTTTGGATACATAACTGTCTCACATTTTTCCTCTAGAAAATTTTTAGTAAATGAATTATGGAAGTCCATAATTCATTTACTAAAAATTTTCTACAAATCGGTTTCTTGAAACACGTGTACTTTAAATAGCTTAATATAGGATCAGTTGAAATCGCGCTTTCATCACGAAAATATTGTTTCGACGTCTCAGTTCGATTTTCAAAATGAAACTCATGCCTGTTAAATTTTTAAAGGTTCTCCCGTAGCTTCCTGGACGAGTCAATGCCCAAACAATTAAGCCAGCCTTGAACTTAGGGTTGACGTGCAGCCAGCAGGGTCACAATTCTACTTTACGGCCTGGACTCAGTGCTTTTTACTTTCACAATTCAAGGCTAATTGTTTTCCTACCCTCTTACTGGTCATTTTGTGGGCTTGCTCGCTCGATCTGATAAGACCGAATACCCTCTTCTCCCTTGGCAGATTTTACTAGCCACCCCTAACCCCAGTGAGTCGAATTGTAAGTACACTCACTTACTGACTTCAGGCTATTATCACGGTGTTATCATGAGCAAAAATCTCCCGAGGGTTGAAAACGATGGCTTTATGGACCACGCCCTTCGAGAACAACGACAAGCTATGGACGCTTGGTATTCTCGGACTTTCTTCTGATATAATGTAGACAGGCAAGCCGAAATATGATCTTAAACAGGCGATATCTCGCAACGTTTCGTAGCTCTTGAAACATTCGCACGTTTATTCGCTCTTCTGCAATTTGAGTCTCGCGTGTAATAAAAGCGCGATTTTAACTCATCAATACCAAGTCACACACTGCCGTGATAAGGAAGAACGCCGTATGAATCTTCAGGCGTTGCCAAATTTCCTTTGATAAAACACGAATTTCCTGGTGAACTTATGAATAATTTCCTCCCAATTTTTCACATAATTTTGTTCGCAATTTCACCTTAAGTCCCTTAAAATTCCAAGGAAAAATATTCATATCTTTCCTCAAAAATAAACATTTTATTGAAGGAAATTTGGCAACTCTCGAATGTTCATACGGCGTTCTTCCTTAGCACGGCAGCATAGCAGTTTGAAAACGGTGGTTTTAACTAATCGCGAGTTAACTTCTCTAAATCTTTGTTCCTTTTTGCATAATGCAAGCCAGTTTATAGACCCCGCGCCTCACTTCGAGCGATGTGGCTGGGCGAGGCATAAGTTGTAGTCGGAGGTCAACGCTATTTTCCGACTAGAGACCCCGATGTGATTCCTGCCTGTGGCAACCCTGCGGAACAGCTTCCTTAATTTTCCCTGACATTGATCATTCCTTGATGAATCCGGGATTTTCCCGGTCTAGACACCGTGTCGAAAACCCTCTTCATCCTTACTTCTTCAGCCAGATGCCCGCGCTCGAACTCGAAGCCGGCGACCGGGCCGCGGAGCGATTCGACATTCCTCTCCCCGGCCGGCCGTCTCGCGCAGCAAGCACCAGGGTCGTCAACAACGGCGACCGACCGCATAGCGAATGCCGATGATCTCATAGCCGGGGAGGGAAGCGCGAGTGACGTCATGATGCAACTTCAATTAGCCCGAGGTTGCCGGCTCTCCGCGGGTCCTTCCCCGTTCCGCTGTCCCCGCGATGGGACCCCTTTGACCCCGGGCCGCGGACCCCTCGGCCCAAGTTTAGACTCCGGCTCCACGCTGCATTAATTGGTCCCGCTCTCGCGACCGCCGAGCCCGGTTCCTCTTTTATGCCTCGCATCCTCTCCGTCCCGGGTCCGCTCTTGTCTTCGCCTCTAGAGTCCCTTTATACCCAGAGTTAAGACAACTCGATTATCAGCTGACCGGCAGCCGGCCTTGTCTGGCCATGGAGGCCGAAACGAGTGCACCCAAACGAACGATATTGAGGGATAAGGATCAGGAATCCTGCGATGTCTGTCACACAAAAACAACAACATCAACAAATTGATCAATTAAAAAGAAAATGAGATTGGTTTGTGAATAATTTCTTAATCTATTTTCATTTTGAACCGATGGAAATATCAATTAACTCTTGATAAACCACAATTAGGTAATATTTTCATTATTCTTGTTCACATTCGAGGTACCGCCATCTTGGTGCACTCGTTTCGGCCTCCATGAGCGAGAACCAATCAGAATTGGATTTTTTTTTAGGCCACTTTCAGCCCAACCAAAAGTGAGTTGTCTTAACTCTGGGTATAAAGGGACTCTATTCGCCTCCACCGACCTCATCGTCCATGCCAATGGACCAATACTCCCGTGCTAAGTATAAACGACGTATGAGCAGACCCGCCAGAAGGGTGGGGATACTGGGTCCCTGACACAATACTTTGACAGGGTGTCTAGTTTCTTTTCATGTTGGGAAACCCTGATTTTTGACTGCTAAATCCTGATTTCATAGTTGTGCCAAATCCTGACCATATCCTGATTTCTTGCGGAGAGCAAACATTTTTGCATAAGCTTATGCGAAAGCAGAACTCTAGAAATTTGGACGGCCGACTTTCTTCAAATACTGATTTTACGACCGATTTTTCCTCAAGTCCTGCTGAAATCGGGATTACATCCTGATTGACATCAAATCCTGATGGAATCGGGAAAATCCTGACGCTATAGACACCCTCTTTAAATAAGCATAAAACCCTTATCTTGTATTTTCTCAAGTCAACGATTATTTTTGTTGCCCATTAAAGCCGATACTTTACGAAATGCATCAGGGTTTGGTCATTTTCGGTCCGACACTGGCCTAAACATGGGTCTAGAGGCTGATTTCTAAAGGTTGAAATTAGGCGACATTCAAATGTAGCTACGTCCTTTTGCCGGG